AATATACTTCAATATAAAAAAATTCCAATATTAAATTTTATATGGGTCCATACATAGTTTTGATTTAATTAGTTGACCGCTCACCCCAATGTTACATGTTCTTCTTCATTTTTTACATAGTCTTTTCACATGATAATGTCAGTTTAGCGGATTTATTGACCAAGATCTGGAATTTATACAATGCTAATGTGCGCTATTTATCCAAATTTCAGATTTTCAAAATGACATCTCTGTAATGATTTTACAGGAACACAAGTGGAAGAAATGAGTGTAAATATTTAGAGGATACCGTAATAATAGAGCCAAAAAATTTTTGACATGAACTCAGGTATAAAATATTGTGGTTTCTTTACTTGCTATTGCTTAATTCCTTTACAACAAGATGAATGTGTTATGTAAAGAACAATTCTTAATAAAGCGAAATTGCAGTGTGAGTACCTTGGTAAAATGTTAATAATTGGCTACCTGAAACAATATATATCGTTGTTCTCATTTGAATTGGTCTTAATATTATTAAATTTGAAAAATTGTTTAGCAACAAAAACACAATTATCAGTCAAAGATGACTCTAAAGGATTCATAAAATAAAAATATTTATTCGGCTAAATAAATATATGACTCCAACATATATTACTAATACCAATACTAATAGTCGACCAAGAGTTTCTTTGGCTAATTACAATATCAATATCTATTGCATGGTGGAAATAATAATAAAATTCATAATTCAAGAGAAAATTCTGTATGTTTGATATTTGTGTGTGAATAAACCGCCTTAATATTTTTAAAGTTTTTCCCCCATTCACTTGAAGACATATTAAATTCTACATTGATTGGTATTTTCTTGAGGAGTGATTGTTGTCGGTTTTTATATTGCATTCGTTCAAGAGCCTTATTATTAACCGGCCTGCACATAAATAAATGCAAAAAAAAAATTTAAACCAATGAATAAATTTATATATAATTTCCTTTCTCCTCATCCACTCACCCACTTCATACTAAAAAACTTACGGATAAGTCCCAATAGCTAAAAGAAAAATATCTGGATATTCTCTCAAACATTTGTCACTTAAACAACCATTAATAATATTTAAAAAATTCCAGTAACTGTTTCGAACTCGTTGTTCCTTTTCCTCACAATATTTAATAATTAATCCATTTCTCAACTTTGACAATTCAGAGCTTAAAATATAAGAAATTTCAAAAAAAATATAATATTCAATTCTAATTGTTGTTGGTTTTGTTGATTCTTTATTATTATTATTATCATTAACATCATCGTAATTATCTTTTTCGTCATCATCATCATTCCTCTTCTCAACATACATCTCTTTTTCCATAACGTGAAAAAGTTGTACCACGCAATTTTCTAGATTTTCGAAACCATTTTTCAAATCTTCCTTCTTCAGTTTTAAAGTATCATCATCGATTTTTTCTTGATTGGCCGGGGAAATTATAGAGCGATATAATTTTTGGATTAAAGAAAAAATATCCATTAAAATTCTTATTGTTACTTCCTTGGTATTACTGCTATTGTTACTGCTGGTGCTGCTGGTGCTGCTGCTGCTGCTGCTGTTGTTGTTGTTGTTGATTATGTCAGGACCAGTATTGGTGTTTAAGGTGTTGTCATCAACATTATTTTCACCATTATTATGAGTATTTCCGTTGTTATTAATATAAAAATTATTTGTGAAAAAAGTGTGGTAGAATAACACTCGTTCGTCGAGCGATTCAATTGAATTAGATTTTAACAATTCAGCTTTTCTATCAACCATATTTTTAAACGCAAACTAATTAATTGTACTGATTGAGTCTTTAAAAATTGTTATAAGCGAAGACAAAAACAAAACGGGCCTTTTTTGATTGTTTATTTTCATGGTCATTGTAATTTTTTTGATAACAATACATGTTCCCTAGATGACTGCGAGCAATTTTTTATGTATTGTATTGTCAAATAAGAGAATTATGACGTCTTTTAAAAATCGTTAGCATGTATTAATATTATTTTTATCGTAATATGTAATGTTCTTTATTGAAATTTGATGAGAGCGGTGCAAGCACCTTCTTTAAAAAATTTAAAAATGCTATTACTAAAATATATACTAATACGTAGAAATTTAACTATTGTTATTTGAATTTTTATATTTCTATGATTTCTATTAGCATTAAAGTAATGATGATGATATTAACTTCACAAAGTAAAAATTACTTTTGGAATGAGACATTATAATCGCACGATACAGTGCATTTTGAACCCGTCAAGGGAAAGTGAAGCATCCAGTTTTGTTACACAAAAGACCGATGTTGAATGAAAGAGTAAAATAAAAGATTTATTGACAAGGACAGGAACGGCTCGGTTTACAAACCGTCTGTTTGGCGATTTGAACCGAGGTTGTTTTATATTCTAATAATAATAGTTTATTTAATTTTTTATTTAATACAAAATACCAAAACGTGTATGTAGCTTATGTTTTGATAAATATTTGAAATCCAACGCTCCGAGATTTTCCATATAAGTAATAATAATAAAATTAACATAATCACGCAGTTTGAAAGTTTCACGTATGAAAGTATAGGTTTTGCTGAGTTGATTATTTATTTTTTTTCGTTCAAAGCAATTTAATGATTTTATATCTGGGCAAAATATGTGTTTTCACTAATCACTCAAAAATATAATACAATTCAATTAAATTTGTAACATTTTCAAATTTTAAAACTTTTACTGTATATATTAAAAAAAAGTATCTTGGGTTCTCAGAAGTGTGCATTTTATAGTTGCTTAAAAATAATAAAAATAATCGATTTAAAAAAATTATTGAAGTTTGACAAATATTAAAAGTATTTTTAAACTGCGATTTGGCAGTCCCTTGAAAATGACGAATTTTTGTCGATTTCATTTTTTCAAATCGACCTGTAAATTCGTTTTGTTAATGAAGATGCTGCAACGCGCATGATTCATTCACATGAATTTTTTGAATTTATGAAAGGAAAAATATATTTAAATGTTTCTAAAAATATTTGGTTGCATTTGGAAGGTTAGACAGAATAGATTGAATGGTATTATATTTGCGATCCTGGTTTGGTCACGTGATTTGTTAGGATAGAAAACACCAAAAATGCGTCAAAAGGAATTTGATTGTCACATTAATTTAAAGCTTATAACTCCTTATTAAAAAAAGAAAAAGTAAAAAGTAAACCGATAGAATTAAAACTAAAGACCTAAGCTTCATTTCCATCGGTTTACTTTTTCTTTTTTATTAGAAAAGTTGAGTTATAAGGCTTCAAAGTTAAGACATTTTACAGTCCACACTGTCTATAACGGATCATTGGGACCAGGGAAAAATTTTGTCCGTTATAGAGAGAATCCTGTATAGAAAATTGTGCTATATTTGAGTCATGTGGAATAAAAAAATTTTTATTATTACATAAAAAATATTATTAATATTAAAAAAACAGTAATTTAGATTGTTTTGTCGAATTGAATTCTGATTTTTTTAATTTTCTTTGACATTTTTTAACAGTTTAAAGCATATCGACTTGAAATAGGAGGTGTCCCTTTGATGTCTTCTTCATCCTGATTGTCTTCATTAAAATTCTACATAGAAATTATTTCTTCATTCAGCAAATCATCATCATCAACGGAAAGATATTCTAATTCTAGATAAATTACTTTTAGTTCATTACATCATACCTTATATCATAATTGTTTATTTTTTTATTTTGTGATTACGACGGGGTAATAGTAATTTTTATTAATAATATTAACAATAATTTAGATTTAGAGGAGTCTGCATTATATTTCAGATCACGTGAATCTGATATAGGAGTGTTGATTTATATGCAAGTCATATGAAGTGATTTTCAGATACAATCCGTTATACATAATAAATAATATCCGTTATAGAAATAGTAAAAAATCGGGACCAAACTTTTAATCCGTTATTATTACAGAGAAAAATCCGTTATAGACAGTGTTAGACTGTATTAGTATGTAAATTGAATGTTGTGATTTCCTAAAAGGCCAATGATTGGCTTAAGAATTTTTCGTGATACAAAAAATCTTTCCAGTAAAAGAAATTTGATTACTTAAATTAGAAAGATCTTTAAAATTTTTAAGTTTCGGGACCGTGATATTTATAGATGACATGAACCACACCTTTTCTTTTTATTGAGAAAAACCACCTTCATGTTTTCCAACATGAACAAATTTGGCATGACGGCGCAGTATTTTGATATTTTAATAATCATTGTACAACAACAACAAGGAACAGGGAAACAAAGGTTAGCTTCATTTGTTCTTTTCCTTTGTGGATGTCGCACCAATTTAATTAATTTTTTTCTTCAATATGGTAAGTTGAAAATGCATGTATGATATATATGATATAAAATGAACTTTAAAAAAAAACTATTTCTATATTTATTATTCTTTATTTAGGAGGAAAACGTCAAAAAAATGAAAAGTTTCGAAACATTAATTTACACTGATCAAACTTTAAAAGTTAGCTTAACACCTGACAGATTAGTAACAATCGAGGTAATTTTTTATTTCAGTTATTATTATTGTCATAAATAAAAATCTATTTTTACTAAAAAGGGCTATTCTTTTTTTATTTCAATCATTATTAGACACATAAACCACTACCAAAACTTGCTCCACGTGAACCTGTAGCTAGAGATTCACTTATATCAAAATCACTTCCTAAACCCCCCGGAATCGAAGAGGAAGTAGAGGATGAAGAAGACATTGAGATTTTAGGAAGGCGTCCGCAAAAAGAAAATTTATATGAATTTCTGAAAAATTCTAGTCCGGAAGATTATAAAAACAAAGTTTCACAAAAAGGCGACATTTCATCAAGGAGACGTGGTAAACCTTTTGATAAATTAGATACAGTTTCTGAAATATCTAAAAGTCCCGGCTCGCCCCGTCATACTCCTTTAATTCCTTCAGCAAAGTCAACATCATCACTTGGTTCACCTTTTTCACTGGCATCACCTCGTCAACAACCTGCTGCTAATTCATCATTACATCACAGTAAATCCTTAGATTTTCCCAACAGTATCAAAAATGTTGGTTCTCCAGTAAAACAAAAAAAACCTGGACAACTTAATTTATACAATGATATTAATGATGACGATTCCGATGATGAGTTTGGTGGTGATGGAAAAAGAAGAAGACGTCCAACTCAGGATTTAATAGACTTTTTGAAAACAACACCACCAAGTGAAAAAACTACTTTTCCCGACTCTGTTAAAGATTCAAGTTATAATACTAATGGCAAAAAAATGGAAACTAAAATTAGAAAAATATTCTCAATACTGAAAATGAGATCATCATCTGACGATTCTAATTATTCATCAAGTGGAAACAGTTTAAATTCTGCAAATTCTACTTTCTCTACTTCATCGACATCTACTGCCACTTTGGTTACTAAACAAAGGGCTAGATTTATTAAAATTGAAATTCCACCTCTTCCGCCTCTCCCTCCTAAAGATAATAACGAACAAACTGGCTTTCTTGGTGTTCAAGGGAAAAATACACATCAATTACCTAAAGCAAAATCAACAAGTAATTTGCCACACGTTCCAAGTAAAGCAAATCCAGATGATTCTTCTAATTCTCTAACTAAAGTCACAGCTACACTTGATGGCAAACACAACAAGTTACAAGTTAGCAATCCTTCTGCCAAAACGGTTGTTTCAAACAACAATGGCAACAATAATAATATTAATGTCAACACTTCTTCATCAAAAGAAATATCTCGTGGAACCAGTTCATCTTCACCACCATCATTATCACCTAAAAAACTTCCTACTCCACCTAAAACTATTAATATCATTAATAATTCTAACAATCAAAATACAACAACAACAACAACAACAACAACAACAAATTCAATTCCTGCCATTACCTCCATTAAAACAGATAAGCCACAAGCACTTACACCAAAAGAAAAGACTTTACCACCAAATATACAAATGAATTCTCAAGAGAAACTAAAGCAACAACAGCAACAAAAATTACCAAAATCATCATCACCGTTACCACCATTGCCACCATTGCCACAGCAGCAGCAACAGCAACAACAGCAACAAAAATTAACAAAATCATCATCACCGTTACCACCACCATTGCCACAGCAGCAACAACAACAACGACAACAACAACAACAGCAACAACAAAAACCAAAACAAAAACAACAAAAACCACCATATCAATCACATCAATCACAATCATCACAATCACAATCATCACAATCACAATCACAATCATCACAATCAATACAAAACTCATTAAATAAAAAAGATTTAATAATAAATCAATCTCAAGAAAACACACCAAAAGCTTTTTCACCGCCAACAAATGATAAAAAACCAATCGAATTCTCTAAAATTACACAAACAAAAAAAGCTGTTATACCGATTGTTGAAAATAATAATAATAATGATGATAAAAATCGTGGTGAAATAATTGATGAAAAAGTTACATCAGTAGAAGCTCAAGTTCAAGAAATTAGTGGGGAACTTTTTGTTATCAATTTGACAGAAGATGAGGAAAGTGAAGAAGGTATTGTGGTTGAATGGCTGTTAGGAACCTGCCTTACTTATAAAAGTGTTAGAGATCTTGTAATTCAAAATGAAAAAAAGGAGGATAATGATGTTTTATTTGTTGAATCACGGGAAATCGACTACATAGATAACGTTACCGCCGGTAACAGCTTTGTACAAGTTGGAGCATAAATTGATTAGTGTATATTATAGATTATAATTTTTTTTA